TTCTTTTTTCTAAATCAATAATTTCTGATTTATTGCATCTAACTAATTCGTGACTATTGAAGATCAAGACTCATTGTTTTTCTATACAAAAAGAAATTGCACGGAAGAGAAGAGAGAAATATATGTGGATGATATTGGCCAAAAAACAAATATGTGGCTGAAGGTAAATTGCCGCTAGACCTTAGATTTGGGATTCTCTTTCTTTTTTTTTTTTTTGTTGGTTTTTTTACCAGCTTAGATTTCGGATCCTCTCCATGGTTGACAGGATCTTAAGCATGATAATGGGGCCCCAATGGAACCCAAATAAATACTCACATGGGCCCCATGTCCAAGTTATCTGATAAAAGAAGCTCAATTTAAAAGTTAAGTCCAATAAGAAATATCTCCCCTTGGATGAGTTCTAGCATGATAATGGGCCCAAAGTCGAGCCCAAATAAACAATATGGGGCCTGTAGCCCAGATTATTTCATTGGGCACCTTCCCATATACCAAAGCGGCAAAGCCCATCTGCTCAAGAGTCCAATAAGGTAGTTTGATCAGCTGGCATCTCTGTCTTATAAGAAAAAACCCTAGTTCACTCTCATCCCAGACGCCTCCCTATATCGTCGCTAGCTCTGCTGCTTTCGCCTCCGAAGACAGTTTCCGTCCGACGCTCGAACCGCTTCGATGGTAAATCGTAGTTCAATCTTCACTCTCAATTATCGCTATCCGGTTACGCTTTTATACGTTGCCTCTCTTTTTCTATAATGACGCGGTCGGTTTTCGCTTGTAGGCTCCCAAGAAGGATAAGGGTCCTCCACCTTCCTCCAAACCCGCCAAGTCTGGTGGTGGCAAGCAGAAGAAGAAGGTCTGGTTTTCTTGTTAATGCTTTACTCCGTTTTGTCTTGAAACAACATTGTTGGATGGGGTTTGGATCGACTTGTCTTTGTTATCCTTAACGAATTGGAGCCTTCTTTTCTTTTTATCTATTAAATGCTAGAGACGGGTTTGTGTGATACTAATATGGAGTTTATGATTAACAGAAGTGGAGCAAGGGAAAGCAAAAGGAGAAGGTGAACAACATGGTGCTCTTTGACCAGGCCACCTATGACAAGCTCCTCTCTGAGGCACCCAAATACAAGCTTATCACTCCGTCAATTCTCTCTGATCGTTTGAGGGTATTGTTCTCTTACTGCTTTTATCCTTTGAGGCGTTATATCATTCATATCGGTGAGATAGCTTGTATAGATGCTATTTGGTCCATTATTGGTATTGGTTTTGGTAGAACCTCTGAACTGTCATCCATATACCCCTCCGGTCCTTAATGTACTCTTATATTAAGGACAGGAGGAGTACTATTTTTCCTGTTTACGAACGATTCTTCTGATGAACAGTTCTGGAAGATTTGATCTGTTGTTTGTGATCTACTAACAAGTTCCTGAGGATATACATATTTATTCCCTCAATAAAAATCTTATTGGTTGAAGTCCATTAGTAACTATAGGTTTTCCCTCTTTAGCTGCTAGTTGCTAGAGAGGTTGTTGATGAGAATATCCTGATTTTATGGAGTGATACGCTTTATCTAGTTAGGAGCTGCAAAAGACTGAGTGAGCTGCGAATATCAAAATGGTTAGAGGAAGTTTATAATTTGGTTGGAGGAAGTCAGGGCTTTAGTGACTTTATGTTGTCCACCATGCAGTATGGTTTGTTGGATTAGGTTTAACTTCACTCGCGGTTTTGGTCGTGAATTCAAGATATAACGCTTTCACCTTTTTGCTATTCTATACTAGTTTAACGTCTGACTCTATGCCCACACGTGTTTTCACAATGCATTGAAATAAATGGCATTGAAATGTATTACGTACTAGTTGTGATGGATGCAATCATTGGTTGATGGTTGGGCTATGATATCAAAATCAGGGTTAACGTATGTCATTGTGTTAAGCTTGAACTACACTGAAAAATTACAAATCCTGTTGCAAGAAATTTATGCTTTTGATAACAGTTACAGCCCCCTTAACCCACATGATCATGAACTATATTAAATCATTACTGGCATCTTCATTTTTTGCTGTGGATGATTGTCACTCACCTCTTGAGCACAACTATATGTACTTCGCAGATTAATGGATCGCTCGCAAGGAAGGCAATTAGAGAATTGATGGCGAGAGGTGCAATCAGGATGGTATCCTCACATGCCAGTCAGCAGATATACACTAGGGCCACTAACACCTAGATGTATCTCACATGTTTTTTCTTATCTCGTAGTAGTCTTGGTGGATTTGGCCAGGAATTTTTGTTTTCCATTTGAGACAAGTTCTCGTGTTATATTTCATCAGCGCAGTTCTTGATATTTACTTAGTACATGTTTTATTTATTTAGATTTTTGCTGTGCCGTTTGCGTCGCATTGAGTGAAATGACTTTATATTTTATTTTGGCGTCTATTTTAACGAAGTTGGATCACCAATGTCGTAGCGGTAAATTTCTTTTGCTATTTATTATTGAGTAGTGGCAAGTGTCACCGCTTAGTTTTGGGTAGTTAATGTTAGTATGCTGTTTCCTGAGGTACATCGCCATAATTGCAAGCTCCCAGCAGAAATTCGTAATTCTCGGGGGAAATTGCTTAGAGTCAATTGATAATTAAGGGGATGTGTGGATGAACCAAATAAGAAATGTGACGAGAGTTTTGTCAGTTTTGTCTTGATTTATGATTTATGCGAAGTATTGGCACCTTCCAAGCACCTTAATTCTATCACCGGTGTGGTTGGGTAAAGCTGATTTTAGTTAAGGTTAAGAATAGTTCCAACTGTTCTGAGTGGCTTTACATATTGAGCTTCCAAATTTATTTGCCAGGCGGCGCTTCCCGCCTTTCTGCAAATTTTATCAGGCTTAATTGGAGCAAAGCCAAATATTTTTTACATTAATTGATATTAAGCTTTTAATTTAAGGTAATGATTAAAATCATAGTCATATCCTCACATTATTGTGGTAAAGGTGTTTGCTTTGATATCAACTAAATATGAAAACCTTAAAGATCAGAGAAGGTTAGTTGTTGATTATAAGCCTCTCTCGAATCTCGATATGTATTTAGGAGACCATAAATTTTTTCTTCCAAACATGAATCCATTGGTTATTGGAAAAATGACCAAAAAAGTAATGAAAAATTACTAAATATTAAATAAGAAATGTTAATAAAAATTCGTTGTCATTTGTAAGTTTAGTATTGTTTGTATCAAATAAAGTGTTGTTAAAAAACTTAATTAGAGATTTAGTAATTTCTTGTATTTTTTCCCTATTTCTCCCTTTTTTCGAGTTTTTATTTTTTTTGAATTATGAGTCGCTTAATTTTTTTAGAAAATGAAATGGTGGAATGTAATTTATTTATTATTAAGATAAAACTAAAAGATTATTATACTCAAAACTGTCTTTTTATCTTTATATATAATTTACAATTATAATTATAATTTGATTGATTTTGATTTTATTTAGAATCATGTGGAAAAAGTAATTCGCTCGAGTTACGCCATCAGCTAAATATTATCTCTCTTATAAATTAATAAATTATGAGTATAAAAATGAGATACAATCTGTGTATCAATTCTCGTATAGACAGTTTCATATTTTTCTGCCAGATATATCATATCCGGTCTTTAATATAAGATCCATTTAACTAATTTGATTAGATTAAGGAAGTTAGGTAAGTTAGTTAATTATAAGAAAAGTGACACATTTTTCTTAAAACATCATAATCATCTTTTTAAATATCTTCTCCTTTTTCTACTTGATTATGGTTGAGGAAGTATCCATAGAGGTAATTTAGAGAAAATTAATAAATATGAAAAATGGGTCTTATATTTAGAACTAAAATCAATTTAAGAATTAGATTCTATATTAAAGACCAGAGGAGTATATACTAATTTATTCTTTTTTTTTTTTGGGTGGGCGCTGGACAATGTATTCGTTCATGCGTTAGTTGCGTCACCCAACATTAAGTATTAACAAGCTAGTTTCACGGTGGCGCGCAATGTTTATTTTGCTCTGTCGTCTTGTTCATAATCTTTATACCATTTCTTTGTCTCACTCCCATCATCTTGATTCTCCTTGCCCTTCGTTCTTTTCAAGCCCATCATCATCTTGCAGCAATCAGAATGAGTACTGCGGCATATATCTACATCTACATCAATGTCCTGTGGTCCTGTTCTTTATGGATTCTTCACGCACTTTTTCCTTTTTCTTTCCAAAATGGCCGATGCTTTAGAGCATTGAAACAAAACAACAAACGTTGGAAGATGGAACATGTTATACTTATGGAGTGATCTCCAACTTGTGTTTGTGTTGTCTGCCAAACTCGCTTGATTCTGAACGGACGACGCCAGAAGAGGAATCGATGCCGCCAAAGCCTCGATTCATCCTTCCCTTCCAAATTTGAAGGTTCGGACTAGTTGTTTCCTCTTCATCTCTTAACTAACGGATTATATACACATGCTGGAATCTCAAGCATTGTGCGTGCCAGTACTAGCCTTAGAAACTAGAATTAACCATAATAATAACAATAAAGAGAATATGTATAAGATGAGAATGTCAAAGGGGACTCTTCGGGAATGTATGGAACTAAAAGATAAGGAATTAATGCATGTGTTATACCTTATTATTTTTTTCCTATCAAATAAACAGGTTTACTCGTGTTGCCCGTAAGTTTGACTGAGAAGCCTTTTCTGATTCGAGAACAAAAAGTCTTCAAGATTTTTTGATCGACATATTGATATTAATGCCAATAACTTTAAGACATTCCTTTTTCTCTGAAAGCTCCATGTATGGCAGATTCTCTATTGAGAAAAACGCCTGAGTTGTGAAAATCACTGAACTGAAACAATGCGCGGACAGTGACAAGATTCCATGCTGAAGGATAGTGAATGACAACTCGCTGACACTTGAGGAGGAATATCTTCCTCTTGTCTCCCTCAAAGGCTTTGCTTATTTATATACGTAGAATATGGCACCAGAAGGACTTAACAAAGAGCTCCTTCATCTCCCAAGTAACTTCCATGGCCGCCATGGCTGCAAACTTCAAGATTTCTCTGCACTGTCGCTCCAAGAGTGAACCGTCTGCCCCTCACCCTCTTGTACTACAGCTTGTGGAGAATTTGCAAAGATTCAAGTCTTCTGAAGCAAGCTCTTCTTCATCATCATCTTCATCAATAATATGCCAAAATCTTATTGGCTTGCAGGACTTGCATGACTGCATTAATCAGGTGCTTCAATGGCCAAAAACTCAGCAAGGCTTAGCTCGAGGATGCTGCGAAACATTGGTTGAGGAACTGCTATCCGTAAGACTCTTAGATTTCTCTGATGCTGCCAAAGAAGCACTCATAGAATCAAAGGAAACCATAAAAGATCTCCAATCAGCTATTCGCCGGAGGAGAGGTGGCCAAGTAGTGGTTCCCATGAGGAAATTCTTGTCATGGAGGAAGAAGGTGAAGAAGGCGATTCGAAAGACCTTAGAAAATTTGAAGGGATATAGGAAGGACACCAGTTTAACCTGTTCATACAAAGAATGTGATGAGTCTGTGCCTATGATCAGAATCTTAAAAGAAACAGAACTCATCACTTTGACCCATCTTCAATCTTTGTTATCTTTTTTCTGTACCTCAATTGGACAGTCCAAGCATAGTAAATGGTCATTAGTATTCAAGTTAATGCAGCCGAAAAGGGTAGCTTGTGACTATGAAAGAGCAAATACAAGTGAATTTGAAAACTTGGATACAATGCTTGAGTCTCTTCTCTGTCACAAGCATTGCAGTGTTGTGTCTACTGAGAGTTTTCAAAGTCATTTGGAAAATTTGGAATTGAGTTTGCGGGATCTGGAGGAAGAATTCGAGAATCTTCAAAAGGGTCTGATCAGAATTAGAGTTTCTCTTCTCAACATCTTCAACCACTGAGTTCATTTCTGAAATGAATGTAATTGTCATGTAATTTTGAATAAATGTGATTGTATTGATTTGTTATTTAATTTATGTGATCAGAGATTCAAATGTTGTATATTTCACTTTTTTCCCCCGATATCAAGTCACTCTGCAAGATAAGATAAAAGGAGAGCTGAGGGATTAAAAAAAAACTGTAAAAGTGGTTACCTATGGTTAAACATATTGGGTTTTTTTAACTTCTCTAAAAACAGATGTGATATTTGATTTAAACCTGAAGTTTCTAAACCTATTATGTTCTTTCAAGGCACCAAAAACAAAAAGAAAACATAGTATTGAACCAATGTTTTGAATCAATATTAAGCTAATGCCTTAGATTTTGTAATTGAACAATTGTCAAAACATATCATTGCCCTCAATGATAAGTCATGGACTTAAATTTCACAATCAAAATGCAATGAATGTTCCTTTTCTAAGGACAAGAAAATCCACGTATCGTTATCTTCCTCATTAGAAAAGACAGCATCGTAAGGTCAATAGTACACTACAGACAACAACTATATTATTTATACCCCCAAAGAAAAATTTTGCTGGCAATAATCTCTCTGTACCTTCCGTAGATGAATAATGTTTGGATATATCGTGGGACAGTGAAGCCTATCTAGTTCATAAAATCCATCACTTTCAATCTATGCAAAAGACAAAATACAAATATATCAGCACGAAGTTTCAAAGCTACGCCTTTGTCCCCATTGTGAGGATGTATTTGAAAGATTCAATGCACAAGAGAGGAAATATAGGCCAAATATCTTAAAAAATAGAAGTATGAGTTGTGAAGGTTATCTTGGGGAGACATAGCACTAACGTATCTTTGATCATTTCTGGCTCAATCTAGATAAGTTGGTACCTAATGGTACTTGTTAAAATTAGATTCTTGTCCTCTCCTTTGCTATGCCTCAATATATATAGATGAAAAGGCAAATCAATGATTCAATTTGAACACATTCAAAATCAACATCTTTTTTCTCTCTTGAGGAAAAATGGATGCCTCTCTTTTGAACCAAAAACCCCATAATCATGCTCGTTCTAACAGTTTGCCCTCAAAATCACACCCTCTCATTCTACAATGCAAAGAGCACTTGGCCACATTAAGATCATCTCTTTCCACATCTTCTTCTTTATCACTCAGCTTCAAGCCGAGTTGCCTACTTGATTTGCATGGTTTCATTGAAAACATAGTTCAACTCGGCACAACTCAAGAAGCATTTGCACGAGAACCTCAAGAAAAATGGGTAGATGAGCTTTTGGATGGGTCTTTAAGGCTCCTAGATGCGTGTACATCTGTCAAAGATGCGCTACTTCACACAAAAGAGTGCACCCGGGAACTTCATTCGATTGTAAGAAGACAAAGAAGGCGAGGTGAAATGGAGCTTCTAGTTGAGGCAAAGAAATTCTTGACCTCTAGAAAGGTGGTGAAGAAAGCCATCTTGAAGGCCTTGGTGAATTTGAAGAGAGGTGAAAGTAAATGCACTTCCTCTCTCACCAACAAAGACTCTGAAATGATGGCATTGCTTAGCTTGTTAAAAGATGGTGAAGTGATCACGCTTTCTGTATTTGAATCACTCTTGAGGTATATTTCGGGAACAACACAATCAAAAGTAGGAAGCTGGAAGATTGTTTCAAAGCTAATACACGGAAAAAGGATAGCTTCTTGCACACTTGAAGCAGAAGATGGTAATGAATTTGCAAAGCTTGAAGCTGAATTACAGTCCTCTTTGTTCCACACGGAAAGAAAATCAGAAAAAGTCAACGATCTGCAGAACCGGTTGGAAAAATTGGAGTCTAGAATCTATGAGCTTGAAGAAGGACTTGATTTTCTGTTCAGGCGTTTGATCAGAATCAGAGTTTCCCTTCTTAACATCCTTAATCATTAGTTCAACATGCCAGAGGCATGAAATTTTTGTAAATGCTATGGATTTTAGTTCCTCAAGTCCAGTTGTACATGAAAGACTTATTCCATCTTTTTATAACAAGAACAGTAGTAAGAATTTTTGTTACCATATGATGCTGCCTTCTTTTATTTCTAAGTATTCAATGTTGATAGAAATGGTTAATCCTTTCCTCATGTTATTGCAATTTACAAGTACTATCTGGTACAGTGCCCCTGAAGCAGAACATAATGTGGTGCAGACTTCCTTGTGATCTGTAATTCACATCAATCATGTCTTCCAATTTATTACAGTGTAATATAATAACTTTTGTTTATCCCAAAAAGAAACATATAGTTAAAATGCTATCCAATAACAACTAATGAATAAGATGAATACTAAAGTAATCAAACATAAAAATTCATTTACTACAGCATTTAATCGAACATCCAGTCATCGATATTTGTTTATCTAACAAACTGCATAAAAAAAAAAAAATCCTTTTGTTACGTGCATTTTGTGAAGGATAGTTAACATTTTGTTAGTTCAGGTAATTTATAACTAAGTCAGTTGTACATTCAGTTTGTATATTTAGTTGATACTCCATGTATATAAATACTCTTATTCATTAATGAGAAAGTAAGCATATTCATTTTCCCAAACTCAGTTACACATTTTATTAAAATTCTAAGCATCCATTAATTAATGATGAATAGGGAACACTGCAGAAACATTTCCACCCAGAAGCAACCATTGAGATCTTGAAGATGAAGCAATTTCTCTGGCCATCAAGCATTATTAAAATTAAATAATCCAGTTTACCCAATTGTAGGCAGACAAGTTCTTAGATTAATGGTATAGCAGTATTAGTAAATAGGCAAAACCTCCTTCTTCTGCGGACAAGATCCCATAAAGATGCTGCTTACTCCAGTGGCTTTGCCTATGTTCTTCATGTTTTGAGATTACCTGGAAGTTGTTAAGACCGGGGAGACACTGCAAGAGTATGCCATCTATGGCAGATGAACTCATGTGATTGCCTAGATAAAAAATGATGGATGCGCTAGGAAGCTTGGTGAGGGGAAAGCACAGCGGAAACAATGCTGTGGCAACTCTAAGATCCAAATAATGATTCTATAATTGCCTCCCGAATCTGTGACATTTAGAAAAAAAAATTATTCTTGTCTCCCTCATTTCTCTAGCTATATATGCAGAAGAAGCCAACCATTGTAGTTCATCTCCTAGCTTTCTGTTTTCTGATAAGAGAAAATGGCAGCCATAGAAACTAACACAAAAATCTCTATGCATATTCGATCCAACAGCTTTCCTTCTGCCCCTCACCCTGTTTTATCACAATTTGAGGGGCATCTAAACAGATTGAAGTCTTCTGAAGCCGCTTCTTCTTCCTCTTCTATAAGCCACAAACTTGGTGGCTTGCAAGATTTGTATGATTGCACTGATACGGTGCTCCAATTGTCAACCATCAAACAAGCCTTGGCCCAAGAATGCAACGAAAAATCAGTTGATAAACTACTTGAAGGATCTCTCGTCCTTTTGGATATCTGTTGCACAGCTAAAGATTGCTTGCTGCAGTCCAAGGAAACTATTCAAGGACTTCACTCAGTTCTTAGGAGGAGAGGATCTGAAACTTCTGGTTTCACAATTGAGAGTGGAAAATACTTGGCTTCAAGGAAGAAGATGAAGAAGGAAATTAAAAAGGCCTTGGCAAATTTGAAAGGGACCTTGAAAGATTCTTCTACAAATGAACAAAATGAGGCTTTGTCCATGCTTAGCATCTTGAAAGAAGCAGAAGCAGTCGCTGTGAACTCATTGGAGTCTCTATTGTTATTTGTCAGTGATTCAAAGAGACATCTAAAGCAGAGAAGATGGTCAGTGATCTCAAAGTTGATGCAGCCGAAGAAAATAACTTGTGTCTCTGAACAATCAGATATCAATGAATTTGAAGAGGTGGACGCAGCTTTGGAGTCTCTCATCAGTCACAAGCATTCATCTGTACAGAATCTTCAAACGCATTTGGGAAATTTGGAGTTATGCATTCAGGATCTAGAAGAAGGAATTGAGAGCCTCTCTAGGCAACTGATTAGAACCAGAGTGTTTTTACTCAATATCTTCAACCAATAGTTGAAAACAAAAATCAAATTTTTCCTAGTTGTCTGACAATTGTACATAGATGTGATTACATCTTACTCCTTTAATGATATATGCATATTCTTAGAGATCAAATTACAGTTACTTCATCTTCCACATCTCAATTCTCCATTTTTTCTCATGCTTAAAGCAGATTTTTTCTGGGTCAATACAATGTGCAGAATGATCTTTCAAAAATTTTAATTTTAAAAAACAATTAACATACCATTTTGAGGATTTTTTGAATCAAATTAAAATTTTCTTAACTTCTTAATGGTTTAATTCCCATTTCCCCTAGCCGTGCGCACAAAGAAGATGATGAGATAATAATTGAAAACCTTTTCAGTCCCGCATGGGGTTCAATTATTCAAGTCAACTTGACATAAATAAATCACCCGTAACAAATTTTATTGCCTACCCAAGCATAGTGATTGGTCCGTTCAAGTTGTATGAGCCATAATTGCAAATTTGCAATGAAAAAAGTTGTTCTTTAATCATTATTTCTTCGTACATCTCTTCTTCTCATTCATAACTAGAAATAATGATCGTGATTATTTGTCAACACGTGCAGTAGTCATCTCATTAAATTCTGCATGATATGTTACCTGCAGAAGACAGTTTTATATATGCAATTATTGCTTGAAAAATAAATAAATAAGTAAAGAAATTGGAATCTCACTCGTGTGTCCAATAAAATTGAAAAACACCTACAATTCTTTTAAGGGTGGGTCGAAGAAACATATAGGAGTCTGAGTTGGAGTGTTCCTGTGCAGGAGATATTGCACTGTCATCGTTTCTGATTTGTGCAGATTTGAATTCAAGATCAGATGGCCTTCATTGCATTATGATTTTCATTTCTTTTAAACGTTCATCTCTGTATTTTAATCCGAAGGCAACATTAATATTATTATATAGATAGCAACTCTTATTTAGACAAGATCCCACAAAGATGCTGATCACTTCAGTGGCTTGTCCTATATCTGTTCACTGTTTTTGAGATTTTAAATCTGCAACTTGTTAAGATGGAGGAGACACTGCAAAAGAATTTCATCTGTGTGGAAGATGAATCAGAGTGATTCTTTAGTTGAATATTTAAGAAATGAGATAGGAAGCTTGGTGAGTGGGAAACATTGCGCAAACAGTGCCATGGAAGCTCAAAGATCCAAGTCAAGTTTCTATAGTTGCCTGCTCACTGTATGACATTTGGAAAGCAAAATATTATTCATGTCTCTCTCATTTCTCTAGCTATATATTCAGAGGGAGCCAGCCATAAGAACTCAGATTAGAACAAAAGCGTCTATATCATCTCCAAGTCTTCTTTTAATTGATAAGAGAAAAATGGCAGCCATAGAAACTAACTCATCCTATTTTATCACAATTTGAGGAGCATCTAAACAGATTGAAATCTTCTGAAGCTGCTTCTTCTTCATCTTCAAGTTCTATAGGCAAGAAACTCAGTGGCTTGCAGGATTTGCATGACCTCACAGATAAATTGCTTCAATTGTCAACCATCCAACAATCCTTGGCCTCAGAATGCAACGAAAAATCGGTTGGTCAACTACTTCAAGGATCTCTAATGCTCTTGGATATCTGCTGCATGGCCAAAGATTGCCTGCAACAATCAAAGGAAAGCGTTCAGGAACTTCAGTCTGTTATCAGGAGGAGAGGTACTGAAGCTGGATGCAGAATTGAGGATGGAAAGTACTTGGCTTCAAGGAAGATGATGAAGAAGACAATAAGAAAAGCCTTGGGAAATTTGAAAGGAATCTTCAAAAATTCTTCGAACGACAAAGACAGTGAGACTTTGTCTGCACTTAGCATCTTGAAACAAGCCAGAGATGTAACTGTGAACACATTATAAGTTTTGCTATTTTTTATTTGTGATCTGAAGGGAGAATTAAAGCAAAGCAGATGGTCAACGATCACGAAGATGATGCAGCCTACGAGAATAGCCTGTGACTCTGAAGAATCGAAGACAAATGAATTTGAAAAAGTGGATGCGTCTTTGAAGTCTCCCATCAGTGACAAGCATTCATCCATGGAGAATTTTCAAATCCATTTGGAAAATTTGGAGCTGTGTATTCAGGATCTAGAGTTAGGAGTTGAGAATCTTTCAAGGAAATTGATTAGAACCAGAGTTTGCCCACTCAATATCTTCAATCACTAGGGGGGAAAGACAGAAATCTATACGACAGTTGGAAGTACCCAGATTCAAATTTTGTCCATAAGTGTCTGATAAAACGTACATTAATGTGATTACAATGTACTCCTCTGGTCCTTAATGTAGGACCTAATAGTTGAATTGATTTTGGTTCTAAATATAAGACCTATTTATCATATTTATCAATTTTTTCTAAATTACTCATATGGATACTCCCTCAACTATAATCTAGTAGAAGAGGGAGGGAGGGAGGATATTAAGAAAGATGATTATGGTATTTTAAAAAAAACATGTTATACTTCTTATAATTAACTAACTTACCTAACTTCCTTAATCTAATCAAATTAGTTAAATAGGTCTTATATTAAGGGCTGGATTATTACTATTTTACAGAAATATACTCTTTCTTGTTGATCATATTATAATTACTTTATCCTCTGCATCTTAGTTCTCCATTGGTTTTTTAATCTTTCTTAAGTAGAGTTTCATTAAGAAAAAAAATGGTAATATAATTAACTATTTGTAGTTCTCTTGAACCAAATTAAAAATTTCTTAACCAAATGGCCCAATTCCCCGCTCCCCCCTTACCCATGCTCACGGTTAAGATGCTGACAAAATGATTGAAAACCTTGGTAGTTCCACATTGGTTCAATTATTATTCAAGTCAACTCGACAAAAATAAAGCATTATAGTGATTGGTTCGAGTTGCATAGGCCATAATTGAAAGCTTTCAATCAACAATTTGGTTCCTCTCTCCTACTTATGATTTAAAATTAAAATAATTTCTATGGTTTTGTCTACATGTGCAGTTGATGAGTCTTCATCAATGCTGTATGATATGTTGCCTGCAAAAGACAGTTTATTTATGAGATTATTGCATTAGAATAATACATGGGGATCTCCCAAATCCAATAAAAACGGAAGAACACTATGATTATTTTAACCAACATGTAGGAGTCTGAGTTGGAGTGTTCCTGTGAAGGAGATATAGCATTATCACTAAGATAAAAAGATTCCTCATGCTTTCAATCACTATTACAAATAGGAACACTAGTATTATTTAAGTATAAAGAAATTGCACACCAAAGGGAGGGGGAAAAAAGATAGCATCTCTTCTCCAGACAAGATGCCATAAAGATGCTGATCATTCCAGCGGCTTTCCTAAAGTTGTTCACTAATTTGAGATTTTCAATATTGAAGTTGTTATGATGGAGGAGACACTGCAAAATTATTCTATCAGACGAAGATGAATCAAATTGATTCTTTAGTTAAATGTTTAAGATATGAGTTAGGAAGCTTGGTGAGTGGGAAACATTGCGCAAACAATGCCTACGAAGCTCAAAGATTCAAATCAAGTTTCTATAATTGCCTGCTTAACGTTGGACATTTGGAAAGCAAAATATTCTTCATGTCTCTCTCATTTCTCTGGCTATATAATCAGAAGAAGCTAACCACAAAAACTCAGCTTAGAACAAAACTGTACATATCATCTCCAGTTCTTCTGTCTATTGATCAGATAAAAATGGCAGCCATAGAAACTAACGCACACAGTTCTATCCATGTTCGATCCAACAGCTTTCCCTCTGCACCTCACCCTATTTTATCACAATTTGAGGAGCATCTAAACAGATTGAAGTCTTCTGGAGTCGCTTCTTCTTCCTGTTCTATAAGCCATAAACTTGGTGGCTTGCAGGATTTGCATGACTTCACACAGAAATTGCTTCAATTGTCAACCATCCAACAATCCTTAGGCCGAGAATGCAATGAAAAATCAGTTGATCAACTACTTGAAGGATCTCTCATGCTCCTGGATGTCTGTAGCGTGGCCAAAGATTGCCTGCAACAATCAAAGGAAAGCGTTCAGGAACTTCAGTCTGTCATCAGGAGGAGAGGTACTGAAGCTGGATGCAGAATTGAGGGTGGAAAATACTTGACTTCAAGGAAGATGATGAAGAAGGCAATAAGAAAGGCCTTGGGAAATTTGAAAGGAATCTTGAAGGATTCTTCCAACAAAGACAATGAGACATCGCCCATCCTTAGCATCTTCAAAGAAGCAAAAGATGTCACTGTGAACACATTAGAGTCTTTACTATTATTTATCTGTGATCCAAAGGGACAATTTAAGCAAAGCAGATGGTCAACGATCTCAAAGATGATGCCTGCTAGGAGAATAGCTTGTGACTCTGAAGAATCAAAAGCAAATGAATTTGAAAAGGTGGACGCCGCTTTCATCAGTCGGAAACATTCATCTGTGGAGAATTTCCAAAACCATTTGGAGAATTTGGAGATGTGCATTCAAGATCTAGAAATAGGAGTTGAAGGCCTATCAAAGCAACTAATTAGAACCAGAGTTCAGTTGCTCAATATCTTCAACCATTAGTCAAAAAAGAATAGTTTTACATGTAATTATAGACATCCATATTAAATTTTTCCCAGGGGTGTCTCTCAACTGTACAGAAATGATATACATGTTATTCTGTCAATGAAATATACTTCTTCTAAGGATCAAATTATAGCTACTTTATCTTACCCTTTCTGTCTGATCTTCCAAATCTCAGTTATCCATATTAGACCCAGAGAGAGAGAGAGAGAGAGAGAGAGAGAAGAATTGTTTTCTTTCTTTTGTCATTACATGATATACAGTAATCTTGCAGAAGATGAAAATGAAAACTGTTGTATAACCTATTCATTTTCTCCTCCCTCTTACACATAGATACAGAAGACGATAAGATTAATCATTGAAAGTCTTGACAGTCCCACATGGGGTTCAATTATTCAAATCAATTTGACACATATAAATTACCCTTTTTTTTATTATTATCTACTCATTCATTGTGATTGCTTCAAGTTAAGCCATAACAATGAACAAAAGTGTTGTTAGGAAAAGCCAATATTCTAATAATTATTTTATTAAAACACATGGTCCATCTCGCCTAACTTCATACATATAACTAAAAATAATTCTCATGATTATATTTATTTGTCAACATGTGCAGCAGATGAGTTTCATTTAGAGCTCATTATGACTTTACTTGCAATATGATATGCAATTATTGTGGGAAGAAAAGGCATGGAACTCTCCCTCGTGTGTTGCAATAAAAAAATAGGAATTATTTTAAGTTTGGGTTAACGAAATCATAGATTAGTCTGAGTTGTAATGTCCCTGTACTAGAGACATTGCATTAGCATTTCTGAAATTACTTGCAGATCTGAATCAAAGTCAGTTAATCATAATGTGATGTCATTCCCTTTTTCCCTCTTGAATGCGTCTACATTAAGTGAAAGAAAACGGAAAATGAAACATTTTCTTAAGGGAAAAAAATAATGCTAGAATTTGCAACAGCTACAAGCTGATCAGTTTACTCAAGATGAATAAGAAAAAGACACTTAGAACAACATTTTTGCTTTTTTTTAATCCTTTTATAAATGAAATAATGGCCTGTGTTGTTGAGGAAAAACTACAGAAATATTGTCACTCGGATAAGAAATATTGCCATCCAGATATGAGCAGCCACTGAGATGTGATACGAAGAAACTTCGCCAGCCATTAACCATAATTGAAATTCATTCATTAAGTACATGCTCCAGAGGCCAGACAAGTTTATAGACCAGAGGGTAAAATAGTATTAATAATCGGATAGGACATCTTCTTCTGCAGACAAGATCCCATAAAGATGCTGCTTCTCTGGTGGCATGCCTTGTTGCTCTTCAGTGTTTTGAGATTTTAAACCTAGATGTTAAGATGGAAGAGACACTGTTATAGTATCCCAGATGTGGCAAATGAGTTCTTGTGATTCCCGAGGTTAAAGCAAATGAGAGATAAGCTAGGAAGCTTGGTGAGAGGGGAGCCAAGGCGCCAACAATGCTGTGGCAGCTCCAAGATTCTAGTATGGCCTGATTACTTTGTGAAATTTGGAAAGTAAAATATTCTTCTTGTCTCCCTCATTTTTCAGGCTATATATGCAGAAGGAGGCAACCATTGGAACTCATCTCCTAGCTTTCTGCTTTCAGATAAGAGAAAATGGAGGCCATAGAAACCTACACAAAGAGCTCCCTCCATATTCGCTGCAACAGCTTGCCCTCCACATCTTACCCCTTATGTCACAGTTTGAGGAGCATTTAAACAGATTGAAGTCTTCTGAAGTGGCTTCTTCATCTTCTCTAAGCCATAGACTCAATGGCTTGCAGGATTTGCATGATTCCACTCTTAAGTTGCTCCAATTGTCAGCCACCCAACAAGACTTAGCACGAGAATGCAGCCAAAAATCGGCTGATAAACTATCAGAAGGATTTCTCTTTCTATTGGATATCAGTGGTAAAGCTGAGGAGGAAAGCATTCAAGCACTTCAATCAGTTATTAGGTGGAAGAGGGGAGCTGAAACTTCTGAATTCAAAATTGAGGCTGGAAATTACCTTGCTTCTAGGAAGAAGATGAAGCAGGAAATAAGAAAGGCCTTGAGAAATTTGGAGGGAATCTCGAAAGATTCTTCAATAAACAATGACGATGATACTTTGCTTATGCTTAGCATCTTGAAAGAAGCAGAAGCAGTTAGTATGAGCTCATTGGAGACTTTGTTGTTTCTTTATTTGAGATCCAAAGGGACAACTAAAGCAGAGAATATGGTCATTGATTTCCAAGCTGATACAGCTTAAAAGAGCAGCTTATGAATCTGAAGAGTCAGACACAAATGAGTTTGAAAAGGTGGATGTAGCTTTGCTGTCTTTTATCAGTCCCAAGCATTCACCAATGGAGAATTTTCAAACACATTGGAAAATCTGGAGACTTGCGTTCAGGATCTAGAAGCGGAAGTTGAAAGCCTATCAAGAAATATCATTAGAATCAGAGTTTCTCTTCTGAATTTCTTCAATCACTAGGTAGATTCAGGCTAAAAAAAATCACTTGGTAGAGAAAATTTAAATGACAATATCATGGATGCAGAAGTTCAATTTTTGTCCATGGGTGTCTCGTAATTGTATATAGATGTGATAATATCATATTCAGTTACTCAATACATAGAAAATCATACTATAGCCACTTGATGCCGTGTTTCCCTTTTTCCCCTCTTTTACTGTGCATTCTCCACATTTAATCCTTCAATTTCTCTTGAAAATTTCCCCATATTTCATATCTGAAATAATTGAAAGGAAAGTGAACGTGGATCAAGAACAATTTCATTTCATTGATAGAACAACATCATCAGCTTACTAAAACGGAAACCTCCCTTATAATGACATTTTGTCATTTCCTATAATTCACCTGTTAATATGACAGCCTACTTTAAATTTTTCATTTACTGACAAAGGATTTATTTATGCTAAGAATAAAAGAAATGAACTACGCATTAGGAGGACTAGAAGAAAATTATTATAATCAATTGTTGCGTGCACTTTGAGTTCATGAAAAATTTGAATTATTGCCTAACCGTCAAGATTATCTCTATTTTATGTTGATAATTGAAAATTTTCAAATCATAATGTTGTCTGTCCACGTTCTCATTTTGCATGTGCTAGCTACAATCAACAACGTGATGTCTACCTTTGATTTAAGATCAAGTCAATCGAAAGGTCATCAATAATATTACTGTTGAGACAAGCACTGCAGCATATGTTGCCCAATGAGAAGCATTTCCTGGTTTACAAGACTTGCAGGATAAACCATTACTGAAAGGAAGGCAGATCCATGGACCGGACAGTGAATTCAAACTCAAATGACAGCGAATTCCCATTACCATACTCTCTTGTATGAGAAGAATTACTTTTGCAATTAGTGGTATATTAGTGCACTTGCTGTGATTATTATTATATCTTACTCTTCATGGTACGGAATCTGGAATATGCTTTGAAGTTGCTTGAAAATTGTGACATACTGAAACACTTAACCAACGTTTCAGTTTTCTGTATTAGCTGTAAGCACGTGTGAAGCAACACTAGCTCAACGTCAGAAACAAGTGTCTGTTCTCCAAAGGAGTGGCTAGCGTAAACACAGCCATAGTTTCAGCCGTTGAACATGTATACACATACCAAGACTAGTCACTCTCATATCTTGGAGATTAAATAATCATACATGTGAGGGAGCCAGAAAAAAAAAAAAAAAACTTGCATGAGTTGGGAAGATTCCTTGAGGGAGACATTGTTCTGACATACAAGAGCTCATGTTTGGATCCAGAATTTAAACTAACTTGAAATTCATTGAGATTTGATAAGAGGAGATTCCATTTGTCCCTTATGCCCGTAGTATATATGGAGCCACTTCCAGTTGTACAGGCACATTCATAGACTCAATTTCTCATCATTCAACCATAAGCCCTTTCCCTTCTCTTGAGTGAAAAAATGGCACCTTCTTTCCATGCTCGTTCAAACAGTTTGCCCTCTAGACCACACCCTCTCGTTTTACGATGCAATGAACACATAGACAGATTAAAGGCTTCTTGTGAAACCTCTTCTTCATCATTGCTTGTCCATAACATAGAGGGCCTGCGAGATTTACATGATTGTCTTGAAAACTTGATTCAACTTCCCCTCATCCAACAAGCCCTCCTCCAAGAGTGTGAAGATAATTTATTAGATGAGCTTTTGGATGGATCATTAAGGCTCATAGACGCATGTACCGCTGCCAAAGATTCATTGCTTCACACAAAGGAGTGCAACCGCGAGCTACGATGGATTATAAGGAGAAAAAAAGGAGGCGATTTGGAGGAAGCCAAGAAGTTCTTGACTTCTAGGAAGGTAGTGAGAAAGGCCATCCTGAAAACCTTGGGAAACATGAGGTGTTCAACTAGAAAAAGCAGCTTTTCCCCTACAAACTTGGCCTTGGTTAGCTTGTTAAAAGAAGTCGAAGCTGTCACTCTTTCTGTTTTCAAGTCTTTGTTGAGCTTTATCTCTGGATCAACACAAGCAAAATCAAGCAGATGGTCTTTGGTATCAAAGATCGTCCACAATCCCAAAACGGTAGCAGATGAAGAGAATGAATTTGCACAAGCAGATGCGGCACTGCAGTTTTTTGTACTTAGCTTGACCAGCAAGTCAGTGTCAGAAAACACAAGTAATCTGCAAGCTCAGCTGGAAAAGCTTGAGTCTCGAATAGAAGATCTTGAAGAAGGGCTTGAGTTCTTGTTTAGGCGTTTGATTAAGATCAGAGTTGCCCTTCTTAATATCTTCAATAACTAGGGGAACAAATCTGGGGCATGAAAACTTTTGTAGAACTGTAGATATTCACATGTACATGAGAAAAAGATTAATTGTAGCTTTCTTTTTTATCATCAAAGCATACTCTTAACTCGATCTTTGGTCGCATTATATGATTATATCATTTATTATCTCCCTTTCTAAAGCGCATAATTATTTGACAAAATTCTGAGCTACCAGAAATTGAACTCATCTATATCTATGATATGCACTTCCAATTTTCATTACTAGAGGCGTGTTATTATTCAGTATATG